TTGAGAATGTTCTGCACAATGAACTTGGCATGACAAAGGTTTCTACTCGGTGCATGCCCCGTCTTCTGGAACCTGATAAACATCACACCAGGTTGGTCACATCCCAGGAAAATCTGAAATTATTTGAGGCAGATCTATCTGGTTTCCTTGAAAGTTTCCTAAAACAGGATTAATGTTGGGTTCATCAGTTTGAATCAGGGACTATGGGACAATGTATGCTGTGGATACAATCTTCCTCACCTGTTCCAATGCAGGCCAAGGTAGTTTCATTTGAAGGGGAAGTGATAACGTCAAATGTTTGGGCTGCATTGTGCTTATTCTCTATTTTCAAAAGGCCACACCATCAATGGAGAGTACTGTGCTAACTTGCCGAGTCAGTTACGAAATGCTATCAAGACCAGATGCCCTCGAAAACTGACCAAAAGACTTGTTTTACCAGGAAAATTCTCCAGCAAATATGTCCGTGGTTTCAATGGCTGATGAGCGTGACTACAAATTTGAACTGGTTGATCACCGACCTTATTCTTTTTATTTGACTATCATTTGTTCCCCAACATGAAAAATACTTGACTGGGAAATAATATCGCAGTGATGAGGGCGTCATATCTACTGTCTATGACATTTTTGCCAACAGGATGAACAGTTTTGAACAGTTGTAAACATATGCAAAACACGCACGAGCGTGCGCGCGCACGCACGCACTCACTCACACACACACACACACATATATATATATATGTGTGTGTGTGTGTGTGTGTGTGTGTTAGACAATTTTTGTCTCCAGAATTTATCTTACATATGTATGTCTAACATTCTTCCATACTTAGAATATTATTGAGACATATTGTCAGGTGCTTCTACGATTTATCTAGAACTCCTTGATAAAATCCCAAGAAGAATCAGCAACATTATTGGTCCTAATCTGGCATCTCGGATTCGATCACTTTGCCACCGCCGTAAAGTTGCCTCCCTGTAACTGTTCCATAAATAATTTCATGGTAACTCTTCAGATGAGCTCTACATTACAGTACTAGATTTCAGGGATTTAATCCGACTAATTTACCAGACTGGCGATGATGTCACAGCAATTTAAAGTTCAGTTGACGTGTTAGATGTAGCCGTAAGTTCTATGGTAACAGTTTCTTCTCTATCACTTATCGCTCATGGAACTCCCTTCCAGCTCCATGCTTTCTAGTCAACTTTAATCTTTAAAAATTTAAATGCAATGTCAGTCGCTATCTGTTGTCCTCCTGGTTACACTTCTTTTATTCTCACACCTTAGTAAGGTTTCTGTTTGTAATTCTTCCACATCCAGTAACACGTTGCGTCTTAGTGGCTTTAATTTCTTTGCTTGGTGACAGTGAATTGCAGAGGTTTGGTAATGCTTGGTGATTCCCAGGGCCATCTCCTTGATTCTATGCCCCTAAGACTCAAGTAGGGGGGGGCTTTAGGGCCTATTACTGAGAAATGTGAGAAAGGAAGACATTTTAAATATGTAAAAGCGGATGAAACATGAAATAAACACTTTATTGTAATTAAATATAAATTATATTTTATTTCATTCTTTGGATGCCTATCGTAATCATTATCATCAATCCAAGTGAGGTCGTAGGGTCACTGCGCAGTAACTTGACACCTGACCATTTCTCTCTATTATCTTGCAGGCTTAGCGTGTCTTGAGTAAGTAAAGCTAGCAGAGTCCATTTCTAATTCATGTCAAACTGTAAAAGATGTTATAAAAAATAGACAAATATCCAGCAATGTATAGCCCGTATTCGAAGATTCACGTCTAGGGCGGCTAGCCAATCCCTATTGCAGACGCTTGCTCAGGCGTATTTGTGTTCATTCAACATAGAGCCCACCTGTGGTTTATACTGCAACTATGCTGAGCAGACTTTAGTTTCCGGGAAAGAGAATGTTATGTAGCATAATCAATAAGGCTCAAGACCTCGGCCACGACGACGTGACTTTTTTCGCTAGCTATTGATGGTTTCCGTCTACCCAATTTCACTCACTTGGCTCAACCCCTGATATGGTTTTCAAGCCCCTTTTCCAAAGGTAATCGATAACATCGGGAAGTCTCGACCTTGGTGAGATTCGAACCCGGGTCTCATGGTCTTCATGCAAACGTTCTAACCACTCGGCCACGATCTAGCAATATTCATATGATAACAGCGTTTTATAATGTGAGAGACTGGATATGTATGTGTTTAAGTGATCAATTTGATTATTACTTAAGTTAGCATCGTTTCCCAAGTCTCGCCGGATATTTTCATCACACGTTTGAAATGACTCAATCAGAAAAGAAAGAAGTTAATTTCCATGTTTTCTTTGAGAAAAAAATTACGGTTTTAAATGCCAACATTATTTTTAGAGGAATAATAATGATTTATTTATACAACTCCTACGAATTAATCTATAGCTGGGGGGTAAATTAGGTGGCTGCATACGTTTCCCAAAAGCTACTTGTGCGTAAGGAAATATAACGAACCCGATTGGAATTGGAACTCGGGTCTGGGATTAAAAATTCCGAGCCATGATCACTTTCACCAAATGCACATCAAAACTTACAGCACCTGGTATTCTCAAGTAGTCACCCATTTGACCAGACTCGACGTTGCTTAACTTCGGTAATCCTATGAAAACCGGCCATTCAACATGGCCGTAAACCTTACATTTGGGCTAATATTTCATTTAATTTTATATTTTTTTCCTTTTATTGTTCTTTTCCAATATTTCAAAATTTTGGGCTTCTATCGTTTCTCAATATCATTAATCAGTTTGCTTTTTTTTACAATGATCTTCACCCTGTACAAGGTACCAAGAGCCACTCGAGATAGAGGGTTACAGAGTAAGAGACACGATTTACTGGGATATATGGAGAATAAAAACGCTTAACTCTAGACGTGAACAAATTAAGAGTGTTGTGATCGGGGAAGCACCCTCTTGGGTGTCGGTTCAACAGAGCAGAGATTTGTGGAAAGAAGCCGCTAGAGTAGCGCTTACATCTTACCAGTGGAATATAAATTACAGGTAGACTACACGTCAACCTAACGGTGTGGAGACCGTTTCATAGATTTTATCGTTTTTTTCCAACCATCTTGCCTATCCCATCGACCTCAGTCGATATCGAGTGCTCCACTTAATTAGAGAAAAAAAAAAAGAATACATTGGATAGACAGAACTATGGTCGTCCACGTCATGAGAGAACGTGACATATATATATATATATATATATATATATATATATATATATATATATATATATATATATACTATACGAGGCAAAAAAAATGGCTGCACCCAAAGAAAGTCGATTTTGTATTTTTAGCAAGTGAGTAATAGAATTTGTTTATTACTACAGGTGTACCTTATACAAGTCAAAAAAATGATTTAATATTTTGTTAGGTAACCTTTTGCTTTGATAACCGCCTTAACCCATTAACTGCCCAATTTTTTAATGTGCATTTTTGGCCCAGACAGGTGTCTTTATTTATTCCTTATGTTTAATTTCAGTAGTTACCATTGTCGTTTTTTTATAGAAACTAGAACATCAAATATATATGTGTATAAAATATCAAAACATAATATTGATTAGAAATAATAAAAAAAATACTTTTCAAAATAGTCATTATTTTTCTATTCGTGAAATGGAAAATTACGACAGAAAGTGTCTTCTTATGGCTAATAATAAAAAACTTTAAAGGCTATGTGTTTTAAAATATACCCTCTGCAAATGCAATGTATGTAAGCAATTCAATGTAAATACAAGGAATAACATGTAGTGAGTTTAATTTTAACAGATCCCCAATGAGGCTCATGGCAGGTTATAGCTTAATTCTTCATAGAATTCTATAGACTAAAGTAAGTCAACGTTCTTCGCCAGATTTTTCCAGCATTTCTTTAATTCGCAAAAAAGCTCATCTTTGTTAAATTTCCTATCACAGACATGAATGTCGATTATCGTCCAAAGATTTTCAATTGGGTTAATTTTAGAACTCTGACTAGGCCACTGGAAGAGTTACAATTTATCATCGTCGCACTTTCTCTCTAGATAATATTTATTCTTTATAGCAGTTTGCTTAGGATCGTTATCGTTACTAAATCATTTTTGACTTATATAATGTACATATGTACACCTGTATTAATAAACGAATTCTATTACTCACCTGTCTTGGTAAAATACAAAACTGACTTTCTGTGGTGCGTCCATTTTTTTTTTTGCCTCGTACAGTATATATATATATATATATATATATATATATATATATATATATATATATATATATATTTACATGTGTATGCGTATGTTACCATTATTTAATGCCACTTTCTTTCAGGATTTACACGATCATGGCTCTCCACAGATTCAACTTCTTTATTATCCGCGAATTGCCATGCTTTTTTTGAATTTATTTCCCGTCTGTCTCCTGGACTGTTTGCCATTCAAAACTAACTAATCTAGTCTACACTGCACCTTACCCCTTAGCTGATGGCAGAATAGATAAAATTTTTGCCTTTTCCCAAGGTCCTGAGTGAATGCAGCATACGAACACTTAATTTAATCTCGGCCACCTATTTCAATTTTCACGCCCGTATCTTTTATGCTACACGTACCGATGTGTTTATTATAGCAAATTTTCTGTAGGCATTTCCTGTGACATGCCAGTGAGCAAGCGAAATCTGTAGACCAATTCGTCAGGGTAGAAAATTCACTGTGTACGCCAAATCATACTCCATTTGATTCTCTATGCTGTAGTTAAAAACAAACAACATCGAGATGGAAACGACTATCATTAATACTTTTTCTAAGCAAAAAAAAAAAAAAGAAAAAAAGAAAGAATCAATATTCCAAAAACGTTATCATAGAGTTTGTGAAACGTTGAATAATTATAGAAACTATGCTAATGAATAAATTCTAATTAAGCATGAATTTCAAATGTTTTTCCTTTTATTTGGACTACCAGTTTTTTTTAACTCGTTGTAAATTCTGACTTTTCTTATGGCATGAACTGCAAGATAGATAGATAGATAGATAGATAGATAGATAGATAGATAGATAGACAGATATGAGTAGACTGATATGAAAAGATAGATATGAAAAGGCATATAAAGACAGATATATATATATATATATATATATATATATATATATATATATATATATATGCTTTTAGGAATGCTTTTTTTGGCTTGGTAAAAGTATGCATTGATGATATATATATATATATATATATATATATAGATAGAGAGAGAGAGAGATGGACAGTTTGAGATATATAGAAAGATTGATATGAGAAGACTAATATAGATATATATGAAGAGACTAATATATATATAATATATATATATATATATATATATATATATATATATATATATGTATGTATGTATGTATGTATATATAAATAAAAAAAAAAAAAACAGTAAGATATATAATCCGGTGTTCTTACAGATATTTTTATTTTTACAAAATAGTGCTCGATGTAAATTTACAGAGCAATCATATTATAAATTAATTGATTTAAAATATGTTTTTTCCACTACACAGTTCTAACCATGTTTCAAAAATGGAAGCTAAAAGCCCCGAATTTAATTTTGTGAATAAATTAAAGGCATTAGTTCCATTTCATCCTCAAGCGAATTTTGGAGTAACTTTTTAAAATCACTGGGTTTTAAATACACAGCTAAAACAAAATTCATGTTTCCAAGGTTACAGATAAATCTATTTTTCTAGACAGGGGTGTCTAGGTGTTCAATACCATATTTTAAAATCAATTTAAATCATATTATATATATATATATATATATATATATATATATATATATATATATATATATATGAAATGGACAAAGTCCGACAATAATTTTAAGACATTTTTATGTTATACATTCTTTTTTATAGATACAAATATTTAAATAAATGCTCTGTTGATTTTCTCACGTACATTTATATCTGCTCGATGCGTATCCAAATGTAAACAAATGACATCACACATTATGAAATGGACAAAGTCCGACAATTATTTTAAATCATTTTTATGTTGATACATACTTTCTTGTTTTTTTTTTTATAGATAATCATGGAGAATTGTAGTTTAAAAACAGTAAAATCGACCTTGCTAACCGAAACGCTCCTCTGTGGCGGAATCGGTAAAAGCACGTCAGCGTAAATGACGGTTCCGTATAGGATACAGGCTCGATTCCTGTCTGGAGGACGGATATTTTCTATGACAATTTCTCGGACATTCAGGCCGGTAAATGTTATTAATACTGTTTATTATAAACAGAACATTTACTTAAATATTTGCATCTAAAAAGAATGTATAAACATAAAAATGTCTAAAATATATATATATATATATATATATATATATATATATATAGAGAGAGAGAGAGAGAGAGAGAGAGAGAGAGATGTGAACAGGCTGAGTTGTAGAAAAAGATTGATATGAGAAAACTAATATAGATAGATATGAAGAGACTAAGATAGGTACATATATATATATATATATATATATCATTGACTTTTTTCACCACAAAGTTCATTACGTATTTGTTAGCGTACTGTCAACCAGTTCATATTATTACTTTATATATTATATCTCATAAATTGTATCTTTTACAGTGGAGGAATTATGTTTATTTATTTCTTTTTGACATTTTCACAAATGCTATCATTCTAATAAATCAATCACCAATTTTGATACAAACAAATCTACCGACTCCATTAATGTATCCTATTTATATCTATAATTCTCAAAATGTGTGTGTATGTGTATTTGTATGTGTGTGTGTATGTGTATTTGTATGTGTGTGTATGTGTATTTGTATGCGTGTGTGTGTATTTGTTGTGTGTGTATGTGTATTTGTATGTGTGTGTGTATGTGTGTGTGTGTGTGTGTATGTGTGTTGTGTGTGTGTTTGTATGTGTGTGTGTGTGTGTGTGTATTGTGTGTGTGTGTATGTGTGTGTATGTGTATTTGTATGCGTGTGTGTGTATTTGTATGTGTGTGTGTTGTATGTGTGTGTATGTGTATTTGTGCGTGTGTGTGTGTTTATGTGTGTGTGTGTGTGTATTTGTATGCGTGTGTGTATGTGTATTTGTACGTGTGTGTGTATGTGTGTTTGTATGTGTGTGTGTGTGTGTTTGTATGCGTGTGTGTGTATGTGTATTTGTATGTGTGTGTATGTGTATGCGTGTGTGTATGTGTATTTGTATGCGTGTGTGTGTATTTGTATGTGTGTGTGTATGTGTATTTGTATGTGTGTGTGTATGTGTATTTGTATGTGTGTGTATGTGTATTTGTATGCGTGTGTGTGTATTTGTATGCGTGTGTGTGTGTGTATTTGTATGCGTGTGTGTATGTGTATTTGTACGCATGTTTGTATGTGTATTTGTATGCGTGTGTGTATGTGTATTTGTATGCGTGTGTGTATGTGTATTTGTATGTGTGTGTGTGTGGTCGGATGTTGTTTCAGTTTTCCGATTTCGATGAATATTTTTTGTTTGATAGATAATTCTTCAGTGCCAGTTTTGAATCCAAATTGTTGGCGACAATGGCTCTCCACTACTTCCTGTTCATTATAACTTTCAGCAACGTTATCCTATTTACTATCTGTTCTTGGATATAACAGTGGGGGAAATAAATATTTGTACACTAGAAAAATTGTATTTTTATAAATGTAAATGCCTTAACTAAAACAAATTTTGATACATTTTATGTGTAAAGATACATTTTATTAAAAAATAGTAATAAACTTAATTAATTCTTATTCTAACAGAAATTAATGCATTTTTTTCATTTTCACTGATGAAAAAAGTATTCGTACAAAACAAAAAAAAAAGCATATTAACTTAATTTAATACTTTGTGGAATATCCTTTATTGAATTCAACAGCTACCAATCTATTCCTGTACGTCTCAACTAATGATTTGCACACATTGAGTGGTATTTTGTCCCATTCTTCTTGACATATTGTCTACAAATTCTTGATATTTGTTGGTGCTCTTTTCCCACTTAAATTTTTCAAATATCGCCATAAATTCTCGATTGGGTTCAAGTCTGGGGACTGACTTGGCCATTGCAAGACATCAACGTTACTTTCAGCTAACCATTTCCTTGTAGATCTAGCGGTATGCTTAGGATCATTATCCAGTTGGAAAACCCAATCAGGAGGTAGCCGAAGTCTCACAACAGAACGCATTAAATTGTCTTGCAGGATTTTCTGGTATCTTTCGGCATTCATCTTGCCATCTATTATTGATATTCTGCCAACACCTTTTGCAGAAAAACAGCCCCAGATCATGATACTGCCACCACCAAACTTTACAGTTGGCAACGTGTTCTTTGGTAAGTAGGCTTCATCGTCCTTCCTCCACACATGATTTCGATAATTATGACCAAACAACTATTTTAGTTTCATCTGTCCATAGTACTTTTCCCCAAAACGAATATGCTCTCTAACGAATTTTAGCCTAGCATCTCTGTGTCGTTTCAAGAGGAGTGGAGTCTTCCTTGGGATGTGTGATTTCAGACTGTTTTTGTGTAGTTCATTACTTATTGTACGCTTGGTTACTTTAATCCCTAATGCACGCAGATGTTCCTGCAGCTCTTCTCCCAGGTAACCTGTGGATTTTGTTGGATCTGGCGTCCTAATATCCTTGCTGATCTTAGAGAAATTCTTCTTCCGGAGCACCTGTTCGTCTTTGGTTTTCGACGCTGTTACGAGTTTTAAACCTTGCAATGAACGAAGCAATTGTAGTAAAAAGAATATTCAGGTTGTTAGAAATCGTTCTGTAACTGTTCCCATCTTTCCAAAGAGACAAAATGTGTTGTTTTGTGAAATAGTCAATTCTTTACCTTTTAGGCATTATTAGAACCTTCTCGTAAGACTAGAAATTGCAGAATGCTCTGATAATGGCTAATAGCGTTAACTATAATTACTGATAACATTACTGGAACATTCTAGAATATACTTTTTTCATAATTAATTCATTATTTTATTCTAAAAATTGATTTGTACGAATACTTTTTTCACCAGTTAGAATTTTAAAAAAATGCATTAATTTCTGTTAGAATAAGAATTAATTAAGTTTATTATTATTTTTTAATAGTATGTTTCTTTATACATAAAATGTGACGAGATTTGTTTTATTTAAAGCTTTTACATTTATAAAAATACAATTTTTCAAGTGTACGAATATTTATTTCCCCTACTGTATCTTTCATAAAAACTTTATTAAAATAAATACTTTAAATTATTACAATAATATTATCTATATCTATAATTCTCAAAATGTGTGCCTGTATGTATGTGTGTGCGTCTGTGTGTGCGTGTATGTATGTGTGTGTGTGTGCGTCTCTGTGTGTGTGTGTGTGATCGGATGTTGTTTATACGTTTCCGCAGTTTTCTTCCGATTTCGATGAATTTTTTTTGTTTGATAGATATATCATCAGTACCGGTTTTGAAAGCAAATTTCATATTCCCTTTCTCTTGGCCAAGCATACAATCCCTCTGAAGTGAGGTTACCTTTCTCTTTGAATAAAGCCGACTACCACAGTTTTAAGTTGTTGCTTTCATTGTCGTTTATAGCTTTTCCCAATTTAAATTTTTGTTATTGTCCTGCCTGTTTTTGCATTTCATTCACCATAGTAATTAGTAAGCTTGCTTTTTTATTACTCAACATTTATTTTTCCAACATTTCCTAAAGTTATTCAAGCTTAGTGATCCCTGTAGCTTTATAGCGTTCTCTTCTGGTATTTGCCCACGCATTCCATTTGACAATTCATACTTGCGTAAGACATGCCACCAAAGAAAAAAACTTGCCTAGGTCGCAAAACCGCTGCTGCCAGGTCCGCCCTGCGAATAAGAAATGACGAATCGTCTTTAGAACGTTCAGTTTGCCTGTCTCAAAATGCCTCTCGGAATGCTTCAACCAGAGCCACTGACTCCGAAACTGAAAATGATCATGCAAGGACTCAACGGCTGAAGAGAAACGCCTCTTCAACTGCTGCTGTGCGTGAGGCTGAAACAAGATTGAGATTCAAACATTGTCACTAGAAAAATAACTTTT